GCTCCCGGCTGCGCTGCTCTCGCCGCCGGGGGCCGGAGAACCGGGAACGGCCTGCGAGGAGCTCACGCTTTGTCGGCGCTTTCCCCTGCTTCGTCTGCGACTGTTTTCATTTTCTTTTAACCCAGAAGAGGCGTCTGGCCAGCCTGATGTTGGATATCTGTGTTTTTATGAGGTCGCTCTTTCTTTCCTGGCTGACTTTTTTTTCTTTCCGTCTTCTCCTTTCTTCTGCTCTCTTCCCGTTTCTTTCTTCATTTTCTCTTTTTTTACTTTACTTTCTTCTATTCTCTCTCCACCCTGTCCTCCTCTTTCCTTCCGTTTCTTCCTTCTTTCTTTTCTTCTTCTTTAATTCCCTCTTTCCCTCTTTTCCTTCATCCCTCCTTTCCTCTCTTTCATCTTTCCTTCCTCTTCTTTCTCCACGATTCCCTCCCCTCACCTCTCGGTCGCTTCTGTTTTCTCTCCCCATTTCTCCCTGGAGTCTTCTCTTATTTCTCCTATCTGGTTCACCCTCCCTCCGTCCAGCTTCGGTTTTTTCCTCAGTCCATCCGTGGAACAGCAACTCCCAACTTTAATCCTGACATCTCCTGGAGGTCCTCCCCACCCCCTGTCAGCCTGGCCTCTGCCAGCCCCTCTTCCCCGGAAGCTCCCTAGGTGCTGGCCGGTGTGGCCTGGGGCCCCTGCCCTCGGAGGCTGACTTGAGGAACTTTCCTGGGCACACCCTGTACCCCTTCCAGAAGCTCCCGGTCCCCAGTGAGAAATGGTCCCCTTGTGATTCCTGGCCAGGCTGGGCTGAAGGGAGTGGGCAACCTAGCGGCCCCAGGCCTTGCCCGACTGAGAGAGCGCGGAAGGGGAAGGAAGAGGACTAATTACATCATCTCCAGCTTCCCGGGGCTGGAGACCAGGGTCCCCCGCACGGTTCCCCTGTCCGCTCAGCCAAAGCTCGGGGGTGGCCGGTAGTGAGAGTGACTCGAGTAGCTGGGCTGGAAGCGAAAGTGAGTGTGCGCGGCGCGCGTGTTTGTGTCCGTGCCTCTGCGCGCCCGCGTAGGGCAGGTCGCTCGCTGTCAGTGGCCCCGGGAGCCAGGGCGCCCGACCTGCGGGTTCCCGGCGGGCCCTTAGGATTTCAGGACCGAGCAGGAGGATTTCGCGAGAAGAGCGAAACTTTGTCAACGCGGGTCCTGTGAAAACACCTCAGTTCCTTTTCCCACCGCGAACGACCCCGACAGCTCCGAGTCGCATCCCGAGACCCTTCGCAAACTTGGTTGGGGCTGGAAATGCAGCTTCTGAGGCCGGGGCGAGGGAGTTTTCCGGGAGGGTGGCTGCAGCGGAGCGTGTCCTCTTCCTTCCCCACCTGCCCGTACCTCAGCCGCGAGACTCGAAGGAGTAGCGAGCCTGATCCCCTGATCCCCGCCCCCGGTTGTAAACCTGGAGCTTTTCTCTCTGAACCTACTAGTTTCACCACTCCATCTACACTTTTCTTCCTCCCCGCGCAGCGCGCCCCAGGTCAGAGTCAAAGCTTCATGGAGCTCCGTCTCCTCGCCCACAACCCACACAAAACTTTCACACCTCTTTGGCCTGCTCTGGGGACCGCTCTGTCCTCAGTCGAGGACCCGCGCATGCAGGGGTTTAGGTGGATTGTCTGTGACTGTGCCTGGAGCGCCTGAAGTGTCCCGAAGGGCGCCCACTGCATGCTTTTGGGGCAGAGGAGGTGGGTGTTTGAGGGGTGACTCTTAGGTTCTGGGAGACAAGGGAGGCGCCTGTGTCCGGGTTCGACATCTAACTCTGAATCTTTGGCCACAGCGGGGTGGGTCTGGCCCGGGCTCACTTTGAGAAGCAGCCGCCTTCCAATCTTCGGAAATCCAACTTCTTCCACTTCGTCCTGGCCCTCTACGACAGACAGGGTCAGCCCGTGGAGATCGAGAGGACAGCCTTTGTGGGGTTCGTGGAGAAGGAAAAAGTAAGTGGGCGCAGTGCCGCCTCCTCTGGTCCCCGGCTGGGGAGGAAGAGGCCCGGGCACCGCTCCCCCTTCCCGGGAGGCGCGCTCCTCTGAGTGCAAAGCATTCATCACACACTCCCGCGCGGGTGTCCCCCAAGCCACTTCCCGTCCCAGGCGAATCTGGGTTTCCGGTTCTCGGGGTCGTGCTGCAAAAAAGTTCTCATGGAGCCCCCAGAGCTGGAGCCAGGTGAGCCTGGCTTCACAGTCCAGATCATTAGGCACCTGGGACGAACCCAACCCTCGTCTGCCAGACCACGTAGCGCCTGCCTCTGAGAGCACAGGCCCGAGTCTCAGGCCCTGGGACGAGGATCACCCATGTGCGCCTCGCGGAATTTTCTGGAAAGGGAGAGTTTTGTGGGATGGGGGCGGCAGAGTGATCACAGTTAGCCCCATAATTCCTTTCGGGCTGGCCGGCTCACCCACTAGGGGTCCTGGCTTGGGGAAAGTTGCCCCCAATTTGGTCCACTTGCTCACTCGACCTCTCTCCCGCGTCTCCTGTTGTCTCCGCGTCCTGCTGCAAACTAGGAAGCCAACAGCGAAAAGACCAATAACGGGATTCACTACCGGCTCCAGCTCCTTTACAGCAACGGTGAGGCTCCCGTGGGTCAGTGCCGACACTTTGGGGCTCTGGGGCAGGGCTTGGGCTCAGGCACCTCCAAGTGGGCCAAAGCCCCCAGCCAAGCGCAATCGGCCGCCAAGCTCCAGGTGAACTGGCCTCTTAAATTTCCCCCTTAGGAAGTTTCACCTTTGGAGGGCACGAGCCTCCCAGGGCGGGTAGGGGTAGGTCGGTCCGGTGTGTACTTGAGGCCAGGTGTGGTGCCTTAGCTCTCCCTGGGCCACTTTCATTCATTTTCCCCTTCCAGAGGCCTGTTCTTTCCTCTTAGCCCAAATACCAGGCCCAAGACCCCTTAGACTCGGTGGGATAGGAGCAGTGGTGGCGACAGGGGACGCAGAGGGACTGCTGTCTGAGAAGGAAGAGCGGCCAGGTGGGGTCAGGTCCCATTCCCAGCTGCCCAGCCTGCAGCCTGGCTTGCAAGAGGCCAGGCGCCTTTCTGGGCAGTGGACGAGGAGTAGCAGACAGTAGGAGTGCCTTTCTATGTGTAGTAGCTGTTGTCGATTTTGTCTAATTGCTCCTCTCCCAGCTGATCCCCTCTCACTTATTTCTCCTCGGTGTCCTCCTTTTTCCCTCTAGGGATAAGGACAGAGCAAGATTTCTACGTTCGCCTCATTGACTCCATGACAAAACAAGTAAGTTTCTTAATGCTGCCCGTGCCCTTTGCCGTGGGGGTGACACTAAGGTCATGAGATTCGGGAGAGTCGAGGAGCTGCGTGCTGCAGGCAGGAGGGCTGGAACTCAGACTCTGAAAGTCAAGGTGGACCTCGGTCCAAGCTCCCAGCGCGGCTTTCCAGGCCGGTCACGCACTTGCGCCTCCGCGTGGGCAGGATGGCTCGAGGGCTCTGTGGCTCGAGGGAAACGTAGGCCCAGGGAGCCAAGCCCCTGGGTGCTGGGGGAAGGCAGGAGGGCGAACTTCCTCTGACGCGTCCTGAGCGCCTGGCGGTGCAGAAGAGGTGCCCAGGGATTCCTAGGCGTCAAGAACTAAACTTCGGAAGCCCGAGCCAGCCGGGGCCTAACCCAGAAGGCCCCGAGCAAAGGAGGTGGAGGATGGGGGCCCCTGAGTCTTCCCCAGGAATGGGGAGATGGATGGAGAAAGCAGAGGACCACGCCACATACTTTTTAAAAAGGGGATGTTGGTGGAAGGTAGTGTTGGAATAGGGAGCAACAATTGTTAGAGAATATTTTGGAAAAAAAAAAAAATCCTCCCGCTTTTGCCTCCAAGTTTGGCAGGAAGCCAGGCAGCATGAGTGAGCCTGTGGTCTTAAAGGTACATAGACAGCGTTTCCTTCAGCTCCCAACAAGCCGGTGTCAGGCAGTATACATTAAGGTTGAGTTATGGTTTAAAAGATACAATTATGAGCCGAGTCAGAAGAGAGGCTTGACATTTTAATGAGACACAGGAGCTTTTTTCCCTCCTTCTTCTTAATTTTTAAAAAATGTTTAGTTTCAGAATGAAGTAGCTGGTTAGGTAGTTGGAGAACTTAGTAGCAGAAAGAAGACAGCTTTATTGGGTGGGAGAAAGAAATCAAACAAAAGAGTGAAGTTATCCATTATATCTAAGCAGCAATTTAGTAAGGACATTAAAATTTGTTTGATTGTTATTTTTAAGTGTTCCCATTTTATAGTAAGGGAAGTGATCTTCTTTCATAAACACTGGCTCAGAAAGTTTGAAATTAGGGTATGCACGCGTATTTAAAAATTGCTTTTTGATAGGCTATGGCTTAAATATGTTAAATACAAAGTGCTTATTAAGAAGTTGTTGGGAGTTTTAAAATCTACTCAGCAGGAGTCAGCTTAATAGCAGCTAATTTTTATTATTGCACTTATATTTCATTGTGACCTGCTTAGAAAAATAGAGGGTATGAAATATATTTTTAAAAATAATAAATATCTATTGAGATCAATTTCGTGTTCTCTAACAATTTTATCTTTTCTTGAAGATTCATTCATTTGGTAGTTGATAGCTTAGATGAAGATCCCACTTATACTTTTAGCCTTGGTCTTCTTTCTTTAATTGGGTTGCATTATTAGGTAGGATAATTCTCTTTTTTTGGACACTATTTTTTATTTAATTTTTTGCTGCCAAACAAACACAAAAGCCTCATTTCAATAACTTTTTTTTTTAAATACCAAAAACAGCAAAGTCTTAAGTGGAATTTTGTTTTCAAAATTGCCTTTGATATATTGGATATCTTTTCCTGCCATTCTCAAGGAGGGGGATGAACTCTAATGCATATCCTATTTATTGGGATCTATTTTTTAAAAGATAAAAAGCACACGCTGAGAAGTATGTAAGCCTTGTGCAACACCGACTACTTAAATGTTAAGTTATAGGCAGCACTATGAATCAAACAGTTTTTAAAAGTACAAAATTGGGACATATTTGAAGTCATTCCATCAGATTTAAACCTCTTTAAAACTTTATTTTAGATCTTGCTAAACAAACTTCCATCAGGAATTGATTTTCCCATTAGGAAATTAATTGACTGTATACATGCATATGAAAAATGATAACTTGGATATCTTTTCCTGCCATTCTCAAGGAGGGGGATGAACTCTAATGCATATCCTATTTATTGGGATCTATTTTTTAAAAGATAAAAAGCACACGCTGAGAAGTATGTAAGCCTTGTGCAACACCGACTACTTAAATGTTAAGTTATAGGCAGCACTATGAATCAAACAGTTTTTAAAAGTACAAAATTGGGACATATTTGAAGTCATTCCATCAGATTTAAACCTCTTTAAAACTTTATTTTAGATCTTGCTAAACAAACTTCCATCAGGAATTGATTTTCCCATTAGGAAATTAATTGACTGTATACATGCATATGAAAATGGAGGGGAGAAAAATCTTTTAATTTTTTTTAATAAGGCAATATGTCAAATACATTTTACTAAGAAGGCTATAGAGCTTTAAAAAACTGCAGCTAGAAGGAGGACAGAGTGTCAGAGAGAAGAACAAAATGTGGTTTATTTCTAAAATAGCAAATATAAGCAAGTCATTTGCTATAGGTGATATCTGAGTACAATTTAAAATTATAAATGTATGCAATTATATTTTTTGGCGTGGAGTGACCTTAAAAAGGTTTAGTAATTATCTAAGTTAGGGTAAAAATATCCAGAAAAGGGAAATTTCAAGATAAACCTTTGTGCTTTCATAATGAATGTTTAAATAACCACCTTCTCTATAGCTTTCACTTTGAAAGACAATCCCTGCTCATTATACAGTTGCTTATTCTTTGGTTAGTGCTGTATAAGCTTTGGAAGTAGGTTAGCTTCTTGTGTACATAGCTAATAGAATGGTCTCCCAAAAGCAGATAGATCAGCATGAAGAAGTTTAACTGTTCCTAGCTATCGCATAATTTATATTCAGCCTTAATGAGTCAGTGATTCCTCATTTACCTTGAAATTATCTTATGATAAATACCCGATTTGATTTATAATTTCTAAAAATTTTGATTTTACTTAAATATACAGCAGCCCCTTCCATCAGTTGTAAAACGTGACAAAAGCTAATTCATTAAGTGGTTACATTTTTCTTCTGTGAAATTCTCCCAGATTTTGATATTTAGGGAACAGACTAGCATACTTTTGGCTATGTGACACTTTCTAGTAACATTATCACTGGGGAGGGAATACCTAGTTACTGTCCAAATGTCTTCACTTAGTTACTTTATAATAATGTTTTTATTATCAGAGATGTGACTTGGTGTTTGTGACGTCATATCCCTGATACACGTGCTAGTGTTAAAATTCAAAAGGACTCTTGGGCAAAGGGCATGAAAACTAGCTGTGCATTCTACATTTTCATAGATTATTCTGGATCTTGAGTGGAGTTAGCAACACTGAGAGCAAACAGAAATGTACTCTATCAACCAAGATATATTGGTATTACACAGCATTTCACCCCTTTTCAAAGTGTCTCATTATACTGTTTGGGGTAAAGATTCTGAGATTTGGGCTTCACCAGGAATGAGGGCGTTTCATTGGAGGTGAATCTATAAAGATCTGAAGTTCCTTATCCCTAAGCCTCCTTTATAAAATACATAATATTTTAATAAAAGGACATAATATTTTTTAAAAACTGTCTACCAACTAAAAAAAAAAACAAGTCTTGCTTTTGGGAAGGGTTGCTCAAAACCAAGTTTAGCCGGACTAAAAATAGATTGTTTTTGTGTCATTGCTGTTTTTGGTATTCTATTAGTGAGCATGCAAAAACCTCTGTAGGATCCCGAAGTTCATGGCTGAGACATCCAGAAACAATATCTGCTGCAGAAACTCCCACAAGCCAGTGGGGAAGTCTGAGGGTTAATCTGCCTCATTTCAGATTTTCTTGTAGTACTTGAAATGTGATTACCGTCTGTGATTGCTCCAGTGAGGTATTTATCTTTATACAGTTAGAAAACAAAGCAGAACTTTAGCTCATCTCTCCTCCTTCCATCATGCTTGAAAAGAGTGACATTTTCTATAGCGATAGGCAAAGAAAAATATCCGATTTCATAAAGTAATCAAAAACATTATATTGCCTGCCCCTAAACAGTAGTGTTCATGGAGAGTAGAAAACAGTAGTCACATAATCCTTATATGTCTGGATTTAAAGGTAGGAAATGTAACCAGGGGGTGCTAAACAGGTCCTGTCTGTGTGGGATTCCCAGGTACAAAAATCAGAAATTCCCTCAGCTTTCTCCTCCCAGCCCGACTTCTTTATGTATTTGTGTTTGATATTCCCAGTTCTTAAGTTATTGATGCAAGTGCATTTCTTTCTTTATTGATTGTTTCATTATATGCTGCCACAGCTATGTAGATTTGATTAACAACCCTTTCAGTTCATAGTTCTCCAGTGGTAAATAAACACATTTTTAACGTATCAATAAGTTCGCAAGGAACGCACTAGGCCCGCACAGAGGGCCTTCCATACATTTGGGGAAACCAAAAAAAAAAAAAAAAGATGGAGCAAGTTTATAAGCAGGGGCCATATTTCAGCAGCTTTCCGTCGCCTTGGATAACATGTCAAAAATGCAGGTGATTTAAATTTCTTTGCACATAGAGGAATGAAGAAGTTTAGAATTTTTATGCATGATCAGGACCCGTGTTTGGGAAAATGTAAACTCATCACAGTGGAAAATGTGTTGTTTGGAGTCTGGGGGTGAAAACAAAGCTGATGGTTTTGGAGAGATTGCCGGAGCCAGATGGCCTAGTACTTCCCCAGTCTGGCGGTCCAACTGCTCCCTCCTGGATAATATACAGCCATTTGTTCGGGGATATTTACGCTAGAGCTGTTTCCATGTGAATGTTTGAACAGCATTAAAAACGAACATATTAGTAGGGATGCATTTATCGAACTTGTATGACTGTACAGACAGTCTGTTATCTCTGTCTTTACTTATATTGCCGAGAGGGATGAAGGAGTGTTTGAACATTGGTGAATTGTGTACATAGTTGTTGAGCAAGAAAGATTTGTCCTAGTGAGTAATTAAAATGTATAAGCACTTGGAATCAAACTAATGGGAATAATGGTAGCGCCCATCTCAAAACTCTGTTGTGAGAATGAAATGAATTCAGACATGTTAAAGCACTTTGAATAGTGATCAACACATACTAAGGGCTTAGTAAATTAGCTGCTTTTATT